CTCTCACACACACACACACACACACACACACACACACACACACACACACACACACACACCTCTTTCTATTCCCTCCATTAAACTTTGATCCATACAGAGAAAATTAGCATGTCCCATGCGGAAATGACATGCATGAATCGTGCTCTTCCTCGTCGCTCTCTCTCTCTCTCTCTCGCTCGCTCGCTCGCTCGCTCGCTCGCTCTCGCTCTAGCTCTCGCGCGCGCGCACGACAGAGCATCAGTCGAAGAAACGAAATAAGAATAAAATTATAAAGCAGAAAATCAACAGACAAGGAAGCAAAACGAAGCACATCTGCACATACACGTGGAGGGTTAACTCACCTTCAGTCATGGTGACCTGTAAGCCTCCACGCGATGAACAGCCAACCCTCAGCGTCTCCAAGCTTCAGGATGCAGAGCCCAACCTCCGGCACGAGCTTCGCGACCACCAATCGGCACGAAGGGACATGCCCCAAGCGCGCGGCCTCCCAGCCCGCAGGGTGACAGTGAATCCAGCGAGGGAGCGGAAGAGGCGGAGGAGCAAGGGAAGGCCGACGCTCTGCTGGGGAAAGAAGCGGGAGGCGGGCGCAGGCGGGCCAGTCTGCACCAGAGACACGAGACTTGTTTGTGGGGCATACCTGCGCGCAAGGGGGACCAGTTCGCATTCACAGCCAGGATTCGCAGCCAGGAGGGTGCACTATCCCCGGTTGCGTTTGTAGTCGCGTAGCGGGGTGTCCACATTCCCCACATCGAAAATCGAAAAATGTCGACGACCACAAGCGGGGCTTTTAGAGCGATTTAGAGGGGCGTAATTGTGGCGCGGGAGGGTACGGTCGTTATCGCAAGACCGTCCGGTTGGCTGAGGGGTCGCGGACGTGCTTGGAGTCTGGGCGACCCGCGGTCGGGCGAGAAGGAGTCCGGGCGGCCTCCGGGGGGTCCCGTTTTGGCCATGCGAGCAGAGGGGTGGACTGGACGAACGGTTCATTTACGGGCAGGTTGGGTCTCCTTTTGACAATTCATTCATCCCCTGAGACAGGGTTGGGTTTTCCACCGATGAGACATTTCAACGTCAACCAAATTTGCAGCCCGTCAGGGTTGCGTTTTTACCCCCCTAAACATTTCAACGTCATTGAAATTTCAACGTCTGTGGTCGTTCGGGAGGGTGGGCATTTTGAGGTTTCAGGGCTTAGCAAGGGGAGGGGCATGCGAAGGACCAGTAGCTGCCCGTAGGAGACAAGGAGGCCAGTCCTTGAGTTTTGAATTGTCTACCGCGTGGGCGCGGGGAACGCAGCCCTAAGATAGCCAAATCAATGAGACTAAGAGCTAACACAAGAGAGAGAGAGAGAGAGAGAGAGAGAGAGAAAGAGAGAGTTTTGTTCCATTTATT